GGTGGTCTCGCCTGCAGCTACATAATTCCAACTCCAGTAATCAAGCATTTTTTAAGTGGTGTTGAAGAAAGGGGTCAGTACATGGGTTTTGGTTCGCTAGAGATATCGTGTCAACCTCTGGAGAATGCTCAAATGCGTAAACATTATCAAATGAGTCATGATATGACAGGAATTCTTATAATCGGAATAAATCCACTGTCAAATGCTCACAAGATTCTAAAAAAACACGATGTCATTTTTGCGATTGATGGTGTTCCTATAGGAAATGATGAAACAGGTATATAGTTACATATATATTGGTGAATATTCTTCATGTGTGTTGGTGCATTGAATTAATACTTGCTTCATGCAGTTCCTTTTCGGGGAAAAGAACGGATAAACTTCAATCATTTGGTATCTATGAAAAAACCTGGTGAAACGTGTTTATTTAAAGTCTTAAGAGATGGAAGAGAGCATGAGTTCAATATCAAGCTAAACTCCGAAGTCATCTACTTTTCTGGTTACATATTTTTTAGATTATGTTTTATCAAGTAATTAAACCGTTACTCATATTTTTTAAGCGTTTGGTTCACATTTTATTTGAATGGATAATTATCGAAATGATTTTTTTTTAGTGTGATCTATTGTATGCAGGTGCCCTCGCTGGTTCCACTGCACCAGCTTGATCTTATTACATATTTGCTGGTTTTGTCTTTGTGCCTCTCACTAAGCAATACATTCATGATGCTTATACCTGCATATGTGCTTGTGCATTAAAAAGAAAGGCTAAAAAAGCTGGTGAACAGATTGTCATAATTTCTCAGGTTTGTCCTTCTTTTTCACCTAGTCTTTTTAAACTTGAACTTTTATACTACGAAAAAAATAAACCTTAATTCGTGAAATAGTCTAGAGTCACTTGATACTCCTTTTTTCGACCACGAGTATTTTGCGACCTATTTAAGACCACCTAGAGTGGGGTTGAAAATTGGTTACCAAAGAAAAGCGTCGACAAAAAATCGTAAATTTGCTACTAGATTGCGAATTCGTAAATTTGCTACTAGCTTGAGACTTCTAGGTGACCTAACCTAGTAGTTGCAAAATAGTCTTAAAATCAGGGCGTACTTTGCAACTTATAAACGGTTGCAAATAAGCGACCACTTTTTCATTACCCAATTTGTTTTGCTTGGAGTCGCAAATGGGCTTGAATGGTTGTAACTTGTGTAACCCGTGTATATACGGTTTAATAAAAATAATCAACATAAAATAAGAAATGTGATTTTTGGGTCATTTATGAAATGCACTTTGATTAAAATAATTTAGTTTTTAGGGTATATATAAGGATATTTTGATCATTTTTCTAGATGCAAAATCCAAAATCAATTGCATTCAAATGCAGCATCCCTGCTTGGGTATCATATTTGCTTTAGAGCATGATTATAGGTAGTAAATATGATTGGGGTAATATATGAATTTTATAATATTAATTGTATTAGGATTGATGAAT